GGGGTGGGATTTGGAGGAGGGGAGAGGGAGGGGAGGATGAAGTGGTGATTGAAATGGCGAAGATGTGGGCCGTTGGGTGGGTGTGGTGGAGGTGATTGGCGAAGCGTCGGCCTGGTGGTCTAGGGGTATGATACTCGCTTAGGGTGCGAGTGGTCCCGGGTTCAAATCCCGGCCAGGCCCGGTGTGTCGTGCTTCACGAGGTCATCCTTTTGCCGTCCTCCTCTTACAGCCCCTCGGTCGAAGCCCGCCTCGACACTGACGAAACGGCCCAGCACCAATGTGAGCATGTGGAGGAGGTGGTGTCTTGAGGGCGATTGGTGTGTTTGGAAGAGACTTCCTTCCTTCCCCCTGTCCCAATGAGATATAGGTGTGAATGTGGTGTGCAGTACAGGCGGTGAGGTGGCAGTGGATAGAGAGGAAGAGAGATAGAGGGCCTGTGTGGATGTGGGGTAGGATGGGGTGATGATGATGACGGTGACGGTGATGTCGATGATGTTAATGGGAATGGGGATGGGGATGGGGATGGGGATGTGGATGGGGATGGGGATGGGGATGGGGATGGGGAGGAGGTGGAGGAGTGGGAGGAGGAGTTGTTGGTTGATGGGAGTAATCTCAGTTGGGGGGATTTTGAGAAGTGTGGTGGATGTGGGGATAAGTTGCTGGATCTGCTGTGACAGCTGGAGTGTGAATAGAAGGTGTAGAGTGTGAGGCGTGAGGTGTGGGATGTGGGATGTGGGATGTGGTGTGTGGGGTGTGATGAGTGGCGGTGGGAGGGGGAGGGGAATGAGGTGTGTGAGAGAGGTGGGATTGGTTGCCAGGATGGCCGAGTGGTTAAGGCGGTGGACTTAAGTTCCACTGGAGGAATCTCCGCTAGGTTTCGAAACCTGTTTATTTTTTAGGCTTGCTTCTCTGTGATTTTTCTCTTTATTGATCAGTTTTGCTTTTTGTTATTAATGATTGCTTTTTCTTATGCTCTGAATTCGGATTTTCCTTTGGTTGTCTTATCGGTGGCTTTATGGCCAATATCTTATTACATGAATCTCCTTTCGATTTACTAATTTTTGTTTACCATATTTTTAATAAATACGGTGGGACTTGCCTTTTTATATTTTTGCTTTTCGGAAAATTTGTAGAGCATGGTGGCATTATTTATTGTTTAACATATTTATGGTTAGTATTCTTCAATAGCACTGTGTGATCAAGTTTGTTCACTTATGCGACGCTATGTTATTTCCTCAAGTTTTGCCCTCTCTTGTATCCATTTTAATCATTTTCGAACCTTGCTATTTTTATCATTTAAAAATATTTTAAGGGAACAAATATTTGGATGGAAGCCCTGCATTTGGTAGTGATAAATAACCCTATCCTTAGAGATTAGGAATAAAAGATCTGTAGGGCAAGTCATCGCTTAACAAATAATCGTCGGTCTTGAAGGTGCTGCCTTGAAACTTCTCGTACACATCAATAGCCAATCAAATGCCCTCATTTGTTTTGTCGAATCCATTATACTGATTATGACGGATGTTTTCCGTGTGATACGTCTGCTTCCGGAATATTCGAATGTTTCCTTTGGCGTTTGAGTCAATTAAAAGAAAATTTTACACAAATTAGCAGGGTGAACATTTTTAATAATATTAGTGATAAAAATAAATAACTCGTAGAATATTTGAAAAAATTAGTGCAAGCCTGTAAATAAAATTCCAGTATGAATGGAAATTAATATAAAAAGCTGTAGATATTTGTTATAGGTTCAACACAGTGTCCTCTAAGGTCACTTAATATTTTGATCTAATATTTGTTTAGAATAACAGACGACTAATGAGTGTGGAGGAAATAAATGAACCATAGTGAAAATTATTGCAGCAATATTGTCAGTTACTCAAATTTAATAGGAATAAAAAACCGAGTCTGCTAAAGCGTTGTTTTTAAAAATGCTAGACTTGAAAAATAAAATATTGGGTATGATAAATTAAGGCTAATTTAAGAGGAGCCAATAACAGTTGAAATAAATTACAGAACCATATCGGTAATATAATCATATAAAAAACTTTATCATGTTGAGTGGAATCAAAGAGAAATTGTAGTCTTTATGGCTTCCAGTGCGCAGTTCAAAGGCGATAGTAATGACGTTGTCGCCGATCATGTGAAGGAAAGGAAGGTAGTAGTGGTCGAAGATGGAATTAACAAAGGAGTAAATTGAAGTAGCAAATACTGTGTCGTTCAGGAATTGGAGTGACTGGCGATTCATAAGTCAGAGAGTAAGAGCCGGAGGGGGAGTGGCGTGTATGAGGACTGCTTGAGTCCTCCTTGGTGGCTCAAAGATTATTGCCATTAAATCCGGAAGTTTGCGACCTGCCTTAAAACAAGCTCAACCCCCAAGAAAAATGGTTATTTCTATTATTGGCTCTCACTTACAGCTTCTTATACATCCCGTTGTAAATTCCTGATTGTTATAACTACAACACACCTGCCATCTCTCAAACTAAACACTAACCAGCTCACTGTTACCTAATACAGCTCCTCTCCATTTTGCTTCTTTCAAACTATCAATTAAGATGTTGGCAAGTTATTTATTTTCTTATGTACATAAGGTATCTGCTATTTAAGTGCTTTTTATTGATTGCGGCTTGGTATATTTTATTCACCAATGGTATGCTAATAGTTGTCATCTTGAGATAATTTAAACAAATGCTTTCTGGATTCGCAGCACGTCTGTTTTATCAATCTCACTGAATTTTAGCCTTTTGTGAGAGAGCAAATTGACAAAATCTTCGGAAGGCATGTAGACAACGCAAACGAACTAGTATATCAATCGTTACTTGATGGTAAATGCAATTATAGAGTTCAAATGGATATGGACATCAGTATCGCCAAAGGAGTAAATAGGATCAGGATTGCGTTGATTTTCAATCTTTTAGAATTGCACAATTTTCTACTAATAGATTATGGTTGCAGATTCAACCTCGAGTGTGGCTAACACTTAACTGTTAAGATAAAGAGCATGTCACCTCAAAACTATAAATTTTTAAGCAACTCAATATCTAGTCATTTAAAAGTTATGAAAATCGAGCTATTCTCACTCCCCCCCCCCAGGTTAAGTCCTTTAACTAATTCAAAGCTAGACCAAGAGTTTGAAATTCATTGGAACATAGCATTGGCTAAGTCTAGATAATAGAGGTTGACAGCATTAGATTTTTTCAACGATTTTCTTCCTTCCTTTCAAATTGCCCCCCCCCCCCATCTAAATTGGATACTGCCTCTATCTAAAACCGATGAAAAGATTTAGCAATTAGTATAACTAACGCATTATTACATATTAAAGCGAAATCTTATTTTTCACAGCCCATTCAAATATCAATTGATCCCAGCAGTATAAATTGCAGCATTATTACTACTTCTGAAAAGTTTTATACAAAAATAAATTCTACCTCATCATCGGAATTCTGAAGAATGTTCCGTACATTTATGGTATAATTCGAAGATGCATTCTCCTTCCCCTGTTGTCCTGGTTCAGCTTGCTCATCCTTTTGCACATCTGGCGCTGATTTGAAGTGGCGGTTATATTGCTTGTATGCCTCACAAATCTGCTCATAGAGAGGGAAAGTGCGATCATCGCTCCAGGTTTCATCACTATTTCCCCACAATGCTTCTCGCAACTCCTCGCTGTCATATGGCACACACAAGTTAACGGGCGTCAAATTCAATTTGCTTTAAGGGGAAAATGAAAGCAAAATAAGTTAGTTGAATAGCTGTGAAAGCCCAAAACTTTAATCCTATTCAATCGATTAATAATTGCAGCACTCCCCCCTCCCCCACGCACATGGAATTCATTCAGAAATCTAAGGAACAAATAGAGAAAAAAGGAGACTTTTGAAGTATTTCGATATTGGTGGAATTATTTATGAAAAGAAAAATTTAAGAAAAGTAAAACTGATCTATTGCCTTCGAACCACCCTTATATAAGCTGTTTCATCCATTCCGTGCTCCTATTTTTAAAACTCGTCTAATATTTTCCATGATAATAAGTAATATAGTTGAATATATCAACTATTGATTTAATAAGCAATAATGTTAACTCTCTAACTACTCAGTAAGGTCAATAGTAGTTGATAAATAATTTCAATTTCTCTCAATTTTCATCATTTTCTATAAAGAGACATTATTTAAAAAACTCAGGTTTCCCTAAAAGAATCTAGAAGCCCAGTTCTGGAAGCTTGGATTTCACCAGCTAGCGCTTACGGTGCACGAATAAATCCAATCAGAAAAAATGTCTTTTCTCTAGTTAGATTATGCAACAAAACCCAAATAGTTAAATAATTAGCAAAATTAAAAGTTTATCAATCTTACAAAATAGGAACATTCTGAGGTCTGGGATCCCTCATATATATGATTTCGGGCGAAGACTCACGTAGTGGTCTCATGCTGTCATTTGAAGAATAATGATCCTTTTGCTCATTTCGGTCCTTTGGTGATGATTTTCGGAATCTATAAAGTGTGTTCTCCTTCTCATCACGGGTAGGAGAAGACAGTTCAATCGCCTTCATTTCGTCAAAAAGATTAAGGTAAGTTTTGCTTTCTTTGGTTTCCACAAACTGATGAGAGAATGCCTTTTGATTGTCCCTATTCGCATTCTCCCAAATTTTGTAATTTTCACAAATTTTGGTGTAAAGCTCATACTTATAGTCCACAGGCTCTTCATCGTCCTTGCCAAGGGCTTTAAGCCACTCCTCGTCGGAGACAGACTTGTGGAATGTCTTTGAATCCAGCTCATTCACCACGGTTACATTTATTACATCTGCTGTTGCCTCCCTCCAAGTACCCCTAAAATCATGCAATATTAATGATTAATACCACTTCAAATAATCTAGTATTGTCAAACAATTCGAATTACCATTGTAGTGTTTTAGCCATCATTTTTCTTGTAGAACCTGAAGCTTAAAATTAATTAGTATTTGAAGTTGTTCAAACATCGTAACTCCTAGCAAGCGTTTCTCTTAAGCCAAATACCTATCGATAACTAACCAAGAATTAGTCTTATAATTGATGCCCTGAATAGGGAAGGTTTATCCTCCAGTTAAAAAATCAACAGCACATCCCCAAAAACGGAATCATTATATTTTTAAACTACGACTGGAAGTCCAAGTCGGATAAAGAGATCGTGAAATGGTAGAAAAAAAATGACAAATATCTTAACAAATGGTAACATAGCACATCTGACGCGGTGTTTTGCGAAGCAGTTTAAATCGATCTATCGCAAATTAAGCTGTCATTGCATAAGATACTAGAACGCCAACTTACTGTGAAAATCCGTTTACGAAAATGCCACTCTTAAGAGGACCGATCAGCGAACTTTACCGATAAGAGATCATTCAATGTACTTAAAATAGTTTGGAGCCTTAAATAAGTGAATTAAACACGAATGAGTTAAAATTAAAATTTGAATTATTAGATTTAAGATAAAGTTATGCTAATTTTAAATTTCATATCAACTCAAAATGTCAATTTCTGTCAAGTCGTTCATGTTAAGGAGAGAGCATAAGTATAAAGCATCGTATACCTTTTTTATAACTACTTATGACACTGGCTAATTTGAGGGAAAAGTGAGTTTCAGCAAAACAGGTTTCTCAGTTGTTTTGAATCTATCACCCACCAGTGACAATCTCTTATATGAAAAAATGGGTTTAGTTCAAAGGTGGGGGCTTGACCATAATGAAAACGCAATGAAGTCCTGAAAACTGTTGAATTAAAATATTGTGGTGGAAGGCGATGTAAGTACTTGCTTAGATCGAGCGCAGATAATCATAATAAATAGAAGTCAAAATGCCGAGTGATAGACTTTTTTGCCGTACGAAGATACGTTGTCCAAAAAGCACCACGTGGAGGTAAGTCTATCGCGCACCTATAGCATTAGGAGATTTCAAAGCAAATTCTACCAGGACAAAAACATTGCTGGAAAGGAAATTGAAGACATGCTAAACAGCAACCCTCTGGAACTAGGAAATTGAAGACATGCTAAACAGCAACCCTCTGAAACTTATAGCAATGAGGATCCGGCTACATATTTGCTTTGCAATGAAACTAGAACAACTCCTGACTTACTCCTGAAGCGACATCAGTGAGCATACATGCAAGCGACATCAGTGAGCACACACACCGCAAAATAATTGATGATCCTGGTTCTGGTCACAAACCAGTCATGCTAGTATACTTGTTCTGGTCACAAACCAGTCATTGCTAGTATTACCTTTGGTCAAAAGCATGACATGGAAAGTGCAACTAAGCTATCATGGGACTTCAAGAAGCCTGACTGGTCTAGATTCACTAACCTTTTAGACAATGGAAGTCCCCTCAACTTCAACCAACATCCTGACAAACTTTGCGATCAGTCCCCCACTAACCTTTTGGAGAATGAACTTCACACAAGTCCCCTCAACTTCAACCAACATCCTGATAAACTTTGCAATGATATCACGGATATTATGATCAGATGTTCAAATAAAACTATTCCCAGAGGCAAGACTAAACACTATCGAGTGTTTTGGTCTAAACACCTCGAGGAACTGAAAAGAAAACGGGACGCCCTTCGCAACACTGCTGATCAGACTGGAAGAACGGAA